AAACTTTGATAGACTCGGATAAACGTGAATTACGGTTACTTCAAGAAATGTACTTGGAAGACGGTGAGATGCATGGTGAAGGACGTCAAAGACAATTCAGGTGAGAGAAGATATGCAAAATGTCTGAAGATTTTGTGTGTGAGTGCTTGAGGGTGAGAGTGAGTTTGAGAGGTTGAAAGTTGTTGGCTTGTTGCATTATTAATAGTTTTTATATTTCTCTCTTTGGGTAATTTCCATGTGCAATATTAAATAATTAGATGCAGCCAATTTCAGTTATTCTTGGATTACATTTTCAACCTTTCTGGCAAATTTTATAGATAATACAGTGCAGTTTGTTTCTTTAGTCAGTGGTGCAAACATATTTCTAAAGGGTTAGAGAGTGTAATTTTTGTATTTTGAATTTTGGACATATTTTGAATTAGCATTTTTAGACTTGTTGGTCCACCTTTTCATGGTGTTTAGAAAGATCAGTTTGAATCCACTCTCTTAGATACTTTCTGCATTTGTGAAGTCATAGAAACAGGTAAGGTTCAGCTTTCCTTAATAAATGCTTGGTTGGACATTTCTGTAAGTTACAATATTCATAATCTACTGTCAATAATTCATAGATGCACATTTGTTAATTTATTCAAATATAGGTAGTGTAGTCGTTGGAATTTTATTTTGAAAACTAAAAATAAAGAGAAGGAAATCATAATGCTCAGGTTATCTTATAGTTCTTCAATTTTTCTTTTTCTTTTTTCTTCAGCAAAAGCTTTCATAAGTATCTCAAGTGTGCAAGACATTACCTGTGTTGCTCCTCAGTTGTTTATGTCTAGTTAATCTAAATTGGCAAGTTGGAGAGGCTGTTGTGTGATACCACAATGCAATACATACCCTTTCCCTGCTTACCCTCTCCAGCTTGTCATAGTATGCCAGCATGGCTTCTGTTACATTGACTTTAGATCAGTGAGCTGTCAGGAATTGGTTATACTTGCTTGGTGTGTGTTTTGATGATAGCTTGGCATGGCTTAGGTAGCTAGAGCCATGTTTACAGAGCTCTTGGCTGGAATCTTGGGAATATGTAAGAATGGCCTCCTATACATCCTGTGAGATTATTTTGCTTCAATTGCATCCCTTGTATTCTCAACAGATGGAAGAATATTGATGACAATGATGAAAATGAAAGGAAAATGGATTCGGACGAGGAACAAAATGTGGGAGAGGACGAGTTAGAAGATGCAGAATGGAGAAAGCAAAGATATGAAAGGGAAAAGTTCTTGCAGGAACAGCAGGCAAAGGTAATAAGAGCCGTAATTGATTTTTTATTTATGAAGGTAAAACTGCATCAGTTGAAACAAAATAAATGTATGATGTTTTCAAACTTGTTAAGAGTTTTTTGTCAGACATGGTATTAAACCAAAATGAATACACAAAGTAAGTTTATTCCGTTTACTTTGTGTTTTGCTTTTTACTATATCTACTTAGGATCAGTTGTCAGGTTTGTAACTCCCTGCTTTAATTTTGTTTTACTGTGGCAGAGATCTTGTTTTGATTATGTGTTTAGAGTTTGTTATTTTTACTTACATAGTTTTTTATTTGTTATATTGTTTACCAAATTCTCAATTATAATTAATTTTGTAGTTTTTTATACTTTGAAAATAAAGATAAGTGAGTAATCATTATCAATGTATTAATATTAGCATTGATAATGTTTGAATTATTCATCTTTTGAATTGCAATATACAAAGGCATATTTATTGAACTCATATCATTGAGAGGTTTGAATTTGATAATGATAATAATTTTTCTAGCTTGTACATCGTTCTTACTTTAATTTCTTTAGGGAGGAGACACCTTGGAGACTGAAATGTTCAAGATTGGTCCTCGTCCATTAATGAGAACCGTTTCCAATGTTGAGTCAGCACCCAAGCGTGAGCCATTGAAGACGGCTAACCCAGCCCCAGCAGCAGCACCAGTTAAAAAGCCTGTCATAAATCCATTTTGCATGCCATCTAAGGTGAGACACAACTTTTTGTATTGGACGTGTTCTCCTTGGGACTTTGTTTGTTGTTTAAGGAGTTATAGTCTTATGGTAGAAAATAGGATCATCTATTTTTTTATAAATGTCAATGGCAATTTAATTCCATGTGTTTTGGATGTGGAGTAAACAGATACTGCTCTTTTGAAGTCCAAAGGCACTGAGCATTTTCCTTCAATATTTTATTTCTCATAGGTTAATGTATAGCAGATCTTTTATATTCTTTTATCTTTTGCCTAAGTTCTTTCTCTTTTATGGCCTTACTCCCCCCCTCCCCCTACACACACTTTTTTCTTTTTTCTTTTTTTTTTTTCTTATCCTTTTTCTTCCTCCTTTTATTTTCCTTTGTCCTCATACTAAACATTCTAGACATGGCAATAACCAGTACTTAACAACTGTCAGGGCACATAGTGTTTTGAAAATGGTTTCTTATGGTGTTGTGAAGTCAAAAATTCAGGTTAGTAGTGCCAGAGATGTGTTATTTTCTGTTTTCCTTTTTAGGAGATAGAAAAAATGGCCAAAGGATTATGAAACTATGAATATTAGTTACAAAATCAATATGCTGGGCAGTCCTTTTAATAATATTTTATTTTTAACCAATACTGAATTATGGTAAGTGATACCACAACCTTGCATTTACAGATCTCTTACTCGTGTGTGTGTGGGGGGGGGGGGGGGTTATGAAGGTTTTCAAGGAAAAAAAGTCCCTTATATGCCAAAAGGGAAAAAAATATTTATTGATTATTTTAACAAGTAAGATTGAGTGAGGGTGCAGTACATACATACAAGTTTATTGTTTTGTTGTTTTTTGTCTTTTATATTTTCAAGGCCTCAAAGATTCTTTCAAGTGTAGTGTGCAATAGTATTTTATTTTTGTTTGTTGCAGCGTGGTTCCTTCCTTTCGAGAGACAAGAATACTTTAGCACGTATTGCAGAGCTCACAAAAGACAAAGGAAGTGTTATAGGTGGAGCCAAGCAAGCAGGGAACTTTGTCTTCCAGCAGTTAACAGCAGAAGAAGTAGAGAAGAAAGAAAGTGCCAAGATCAAGAGAACCTCGAGTTTGCCTGTTGCCAAGAAAGCGAGATTAGATCGCAGCTTCTTCAGTATGGATGAATCAAAACAATCATCAAGTATATTTAAGCATTTTTTAATGATGACTTAGATAGCAGAATAAGGAGAGTGTGTAAAGAGTTAGATGCGGTTCTAGATATCATCTGTATTTTTTGTTTTGTAGTAAATTCTCATTTTCAGGAATTAGAATAACAGTTTTTCATCATATATTGTCTTCCTCATTTTTTTTATCGACAATTTTCTTACCATCTTTATTTTAAAACCCATGCAGAATTATAATGGTTTAGTTGCAAAAAGAAATATTTCTTTACTTTCTCATTTTTATGCATTTGTGTGTATGTGTATGTATATATGTCATTTTGTGTATATAAAGATGTTAAAATAAGAGTATTTATTTTGTGCAATGTTTTTATATAGATTGATACCAGTTGCTAAACATAGTCCATTTTCATTTTTTAATCTGGTGCATTAAAAATACACCCTTAAAATCATGTGCTTCATTCACCCTCTTTCTCTCTGTTACAAAGTAAACATAGCTCACAAATTGCTATGTGACAAACCTTTAGAGATAATTTGATAAAAAATCTATACATAATCAATAACTTATGTATATGAACAATTCATGTATATGAACAAAAGAACAAAAAGTCACAAATGTACCTTGAGTAATTAGAGTCCAGTTCAGAAACCATTATCAGTTTATATGTATGTATATCTATATAGACATCCATATATATATATGTATTTATATAGATATCCCCCAATCCCTTGCCCGTTGTTGTCGTGGGGAGGCTTAGGAGAAGGAGACTGAGACCCAATGCAGGGATCTCCACTGCCTAGAGCCTCAGCCCTCAACTCAACTAATTTTGCATGGCCTTTTCTCCCTACAACTTTCTGTTTCCATCTCTTCTCCAACCCCTTCTACTATCTACTTCCTAAGGTGTATGACCCATGCTGAAAGGATGAAAGGCTGACTTGTGCCAGTCCTGAAGTGCCTGCGGGAACCATGGGCACGGTAATCCCGATTTAGTTGTCTAGCCCTTACCCCCTTAAGGGCACTGAGGGGGTGGACTGTTTATTTCCCCTACATAATCAAGGCTTCCCATGGCCAGTAATGAAGTAATACCCATATTAGAGGCAATGAGGCTTGCCCTTCATCAAATAGCCCACCAATTCAGACTCTTACTGGCTCCCCGACCCAGGCTCTCCTTTGACCACAACTCTGAACACTGAAACTACTACCTACTCCTCAATGCCTACTAGTGCATTACCACCCAAGCTGAGACTCAATCTCCAGAAGACATTCCTATTCTCCCAACTTCAACTTCATCACCTCTACCCAACAACCTTCATCAAACACCCCAACCTCCCTTATTACTCCCTTACAGCCTTAATCCCATCTCTCCGTAATACTACCCCCTCAACAACACTCCCTCTTCCACACGTCCCAGTCCTTCTACCAACACCAACCCTACAAATATCTTGAATACGCTATTTAGCCCAGTAGGGACCGATTTTTCGTGATCCCTTCTACAGCTCCTTACTCAGGCAACTCTTCTTTCAACATTGCCTCCAAAGACAAGTGGCAGTGTCCCTTTCCATACCAGACGTGATCGCTCCCGTCTCGTAACAGTCAGATCTGAAACTGAAGCTATAGCATTATCAATTCTAACTGCAACCCCATTCCTGCAGAACCTCATCCAACTCTTAATACTTGTACTGGAACTGTCTCTATCTCCCCAGCAAACTGCCCAGTCGATACCAAAGATTGGTCAGACTGTGGAGAAGACTTACTCGAATGCCTCAAAGACCAAGACGTGAAATCAGTACATTGCTACACCAACATTGCCAAAATAATTTCAGTACACGTGACTTTCCCGTTCGTATCTACATTGGTGGACAATCCCTC